GCTTTATACTTCAGGATGAAGTACAAAATTATCATTGGAATAGGGCTCAATCCACTGCTCACCCTTTTGTTATATATTATAAAGATAATTTTGCCAATATTTGTTGCCTAAATTATGTAATGATATCCGAATCTTTGCAACACAATACAATAGCAGTACATAATTTCAAAAAAACATTGGTAAATTTTTTAATTAATAAAATTTGTAGGCCAAATAAAATTTTTTATTTTTCCGATGATAAAAATCGTAAAAATTTTAGTAATATTTGCCATCATGAGATGGATTTCGGGTTACAGGCGAAATGGCATTTTTCTGCTATAGCACACGGGAAAAGTGTTTGTGATGGGATTGGTGGCACTGTTAAAAGATTAGCCGCTAGAGCTAGTTTACAAGGCCTTACTCAAAGTAAATAACCACATCATATGAATTGTACGGCTAAATAAAGAAAATATTAATGTAATATATTTTGAATAGATGACCAAAATAAATTATGATTACGAAGATCTATTACTCAAGGAAAGATTTTCAAAAACTAGATCTATACCAGGAATACACAAAATACACACCTTGATTCCAACAGATCTACATCAATTTAAAAGTAAAATGTATTCCAATTCAATAGAAAGTACTATAGAATAGTTATCATATAATGATGAAAGTATAATTATTGAAGAAATATCAGGATACCTAACGTAATTTGTTTTAGTGAAAAATTAAAAGCAGGAAGAAATATATATAAAGTTTTTAACCCACCCGGACCTTCTAATTCCTTTACATTTCCAAGTATAGACGACACTTTACTTGCCCAAATGTCATATCTTAACATTAGTTTCACTGTTAACTGCTACTGGCCGTAGTTATACATTGTTGTCACAAGAAAGTAAATGCGCTACCAAAAAATTAGAATCTTTTAAAAGTGAGTTGTTTATTAGATTTTTATATTTAAATTATATCAATTTTTCTAATATTTAGGGCGCCATATATGAAATGCACAAGATTCTGATTCATATATTCAAGAACTCGAAACTTAATTGAACATATTTTATTAATATTCATTAAATATATGTTATATGCGCAAAAAATTTTATAATAAATTATAAATAAAGTAATAAATAAATTGAATTTCTTTTATCGATATACAATTTCTATAATTGAACGTAAGCCCCATTTATTGTTATTTTCACTTACAAGATGAATAATCCTTTAAATTATATCAAATAGTCCAAGAAAAACCATTAAAAACTGATTAATATATAATTTTATACAAAGACGCCCCCTTTCGGGACAATATTTATACACTTTTCTAAACATTTTTATCGATTTGAGAGGCCGCGTCCCAGATTAATTTTTTTTTATAAATTTAAAAGAGTTTAATAATGTCTACTAAATTTTTTAAAAAAATTGAAGGTCGTATTATTTACAAAAAATTGTTTTTAGTCCTTATATATTAAATAAAATGACCGAAAATTGGAAAAAAAATTAAAAAATTTTTTTATCTAAAAGTAGAATCTTTCTACGTAATTTTGATATTAAATTTGTTATTTACAATTATGTAGTTTTTAAGATATGCTTAATTGAATGAAGGCAGATAGAACCCTAATATCTCCAAAAATATATATGATACGAGGCTAAAATTTTGGCTATTTCTTAACTACACTACCCTTTCTTTGCTTACCAAATTTTAAAAAAATCTAAGGGGGTCGGCCGAATCGTGGTTGATTTGTTTTGCATTGTTTTAAAAAAAATTTTTAGAAAATATTATAATAATGTAAAATAAATATACATAACATAAAATAACAAAAAAAGAAAAGTAAAAAGATCGGATCGGTTTATACAGGTATCGGCTCGATCCGATATTTTTGGAAAACGCTAAATATCGGTGCAGATCCGATAATTAATATCGGCAAAGCCCTAATATAAAATAATGAAAAAAAATCTATGTAAATATCGTATCAATGATGTATGAAATAAATATCGGATCGGTGAAAAAATTATGGATCGGTGCAATCCTAATTTTTAGCCTTTTATTTTTCGAAAAGGGGCATTTTTTAGCTTTTTTGACAACTGATATCTCAGAAACTGTAAGTACCAAGTAAGCATGATGCTCATTCAATATGCAAAATTTTATCAAAATTAAAAGGGTCGGGCTGAAAAGTTGTGATTTAATATGGAATTACCCGATCCTTGATCCTTTGAGTGAGATTCTTTAAAAACTCCTTATATGCATTTAAAATAATGTCTAAACATTATAAAATTATATATATTTTTTATTTTAGTGTTAAATCGTTTACATATTTTTTAGAACCAAACGGGCTTATTCAAATTAGGAATTGATATATATTGAAAATAAATAAAACATAACAGCTTAAAATATGTAAATTGCATAACAAGGTGAAAAAAAATGTTCTAGATCAAAATGATGAATATGTTCCACCAATATCTGAACTAGGGTCAAAGGTGGGTTAAATATAATCTCTATAAATCTGAATGCTTTAAACTTATCCATTAAGATTGATTTTGGTTATTTGGGGTGTATAATTAAACTTATTTCGCCTAGTCTGCAAAAAAAATAATTTATGATTTTATAAAAAAATTTATTTATGTAATATTTATTTTATGAAATTTTATGACTTTTTAAGATATTTTGGAATTTTGAGCTAGACTATGCAGATCTCTAATACTTACATTCCTTTTTTTTAAAAAAAATATTTCAATTTATAAATTATTTGAAAAATAAATTTTAAGCTTTTTATAAGTTTATTTTTAAAAGGCTGCTTTCTATGCAAACTTTTCTTTTTAAATTTACATATAAATTGTTTTACACATAATTTGCTCATACGTGTTTTCAGTTAGTAAACCCTATTTTATGAATTAAACTATGAATGTCTCCTAGATATGATATTGTTTGAATTTTATTATTTATATGTTAAACTATATTAACAAAACATGTTTATATAACAAATATATTTGCCGTTAAGTATGATATTTTAAATAAAAGTTTGAAAATTGTGTTACTTCATAAAATGAAGAATACCTCATTATAGACTTAGATAATTTATTTGAATTATATGATTATTAATTAAATATTTTATAAACTATGTAGGTATATTCAAATGACCATGCTAGATAAAGCTAAAGCTTCTAATTTAGATTTTGATGCAATTATTAATAAAATGAAAACTTTTAATAAAGTTAGTCTATTTTAAATGTATTGCAGATTTATTATGACTAAAAATTTATAGGACTACATAACTATGATGAATGAAGAATTTGAAAATGAAAAAATTATATCCTATTCTTGGCTAAAACATTAATTATTAAATATATATTTATTCTTTATTCTTTATTTATATTAGAATTAATTAAAGAATTTTTATATTTAATTTTATAAATAAATTTCATATTTGACTCTTTGGTTCATATTTTTGAACGTTGTAATTAGTGATACAGAATCGCCCCATTTGAACCTATTTTTTAATACGGCGAATTCAATATTTTTGCCAGATATTGTTTAAGCCGTCCAAACCTTTGTGCCATCCTATGAGCAGAATCTTCAGGCTTGCGTTATATTTTTTAAAAATTGGCACAAATTGAGCGATATTTCATCACTAGTTATGATTATATAAGATATTTGATTTAAGCTTATAAAGAAATATTTTAAATGTAACCCTTGAGTATTTTTTGGAGTATACAGCACACCAGAGATTTTTAAAAAATCTAGATATTTTGATCTGGGTTTTCACTAGTCTCCTATTTTATTCTAAACGATATTTCTGCAATATATTATAAATTTTTAAGGTAAAAACCTTTAAAATTTTAGATGCAGCTATATAATCATATTTTTTTGGAAATTTTTGCCCAGTTACATCAATTCGATATCTAATAATCAATCTTATCGAAAAAATTACTTAAAAAATTATTTGTCTTATAAAAAAACACAAATTTACATTTTTATATCTCATTAAATTTTTTATTTATTATTCTGATACTGTTTAAAAATTAATAAATTGCTCCTCATATCACAAATTGTTTAGATTGAAAATTTTGATCTTAGTATTCATTCTCCAGTTGCCAGTTGTTGCAAATCATTGATTCTAATCATCTATAAAATCTTTCCTCCATTCCATGTTCCCTTTTTAAATTTAGTCACTTTTCTCCGCCAGTGCTTTATTGCTTTAAAATGGGGGGGGGGGGGGGGTATCATTTTTATATTCAAAAAATATGAAAATGATAAAATAGCATAATTTTTATTTTACTTTCGTTATTTATGAAAAATAGTCAGACGTAAAGCACTGGAGGAGAATATTGTTCATGGAGCGAATTGGCAAGTATCAAAAAAGTACTATCCTTAATTATTATTGTAATATTTGAGAAATTTGGAGCCTAAAATTAAAATAAAAGAAATAAAATTAAATACTAATATAAATTCTAATTCCTTTATTAAATATTACTAATTATAAATTAATCAATTATAAATTAATATAAAAGGTAAAAAAATAAAAATAAAAAAATAAGAAAAAGATTAAAATTAAGAAATTTATAAGCGAAAAATAAAAAGTGATAAATTCCGATCGTTAAACTCTTAAAGTATGAAAAATCTACAATTATCATGCGTTTTCATCTCATTTGCATAGTCTAAGACTTAATAATTGTTATGTTCTACCTCCCCCCCCCCCTTGTCCCGTACAACTTATTTCTTTTTTTTCTACTTGTTTCTTTTGTTTTCCCATCTTCCTTTATTTTGTTATGAAATTGATATATTTTACCTTATTTTTATATTGCACTTGAAACTGGTTCTTACCAGTTTCATGAATGATTATATCGCGATTAAATAACAACTTTTTTTTCCCCTTTTGTTTTAAAAATTATAAAGGTTGAAAACAAAACACCTTTTTGGATCATTAATTATTTTCGTGGTTTTTGTAAATTGATATTTTTTTTTTGTAATTTTACTTTGTTGAATAAACTTTGAAAATATTATTTTAACTACGTTGTCCAAGTGATTCCATGACTAAAACGATAAAACCCGGCCCCCTGGATCCCGTCATCGACCATCCCGGACCCCCGATCACGGGCTGTATTTTTCCCATTCAGACTGGGGGACCCATCGATCCAAATATCACACTGGCGCCCAACGTACATTCGATAATCTACGACCCGGAAGAACCAACAGATCATTACCTCGAACGTTTTATGCTTATCCACCGACATCAACCTGAGGCAAATTTACTATCCTTATTCTTATCATCATGCGGTCACAGCCTATATTCAAAATTAAAGTTAGCCTTTTCACCAAGGCCTATGTTGGAAATGTCAATAGAGGACGTAAAAACGATTTTGGGAAACAATAATAACAACAAAGGTCTATCAATCAACAAGCTTCGTCAACGCATCCAGCAAGATGGCGAAACGATTACTGAATATGCGGAAGCTTTGATAGCTTTGGCCTCACAGTGCGATCTAGGCAGCTGGGACCTTTTCCTGTCCTCCCAATTCGGAGCGGGGATACAATCCTCCGGAATAAGAGGTCACGTAATCACGTCCGATAATATAACGTTTAAAGGGAAGTTAAAAATTGCGCAAACCTGGGAAATGGCCGTTAACCAAAATAATGCGACAAACCACGCCTACAGCAACCAAATAAACATACCCACTATACACATCTTCAAAACACCCCGCAAACATTTGAGAATTACTATCAACCCCCACGTCGGAATTTCCCACGGAATGATAACCCAACCTGTTACAATTGCGGGAACGTGGGGCATTATAGATTCAATTGCCCAATAAAACAAACTTTCAACAATTATAACTCCTCTCAGTATACTCCTCGAAATATACCTCCGACCCAACCCAATTTCCCGGCAATAGCCTACCCAGCGACTAACAGAGTACTACCCGAGACTAAAAAGGTAGAAAACAAAGAGTATAAACACATAAACATGATGACAAATGAAGCGGATATCGACAAAAACCATTCGTTCCGGGTAACGGTAAAAATAAATGGTATACCATTAGAAATGGTTATAGATACAGGCTCAGATGTAACAATCATTAGTAATCAAACGCATAATATACTTTTCAACCTTATCCCAATGGAGGACACCCAGGTAGTTCTAAAATCATTTTCAGGACATGACATTCAACCCATAGGGCACTTCCCAGCAATAATAAGCTACCAGGACAGCACACATTCAACAAATATCCTAGTAATTAATAACTCCCCCACCTCCATAGTAGGTAGGGATGTTCTAAACAAGATACCCACGATCCTACAAGACATCACCTCCAAGGATCAAGAAATTAAACAGCTTAAAAAAAGTTTCCCACTAATTTTTTCGGATACCTTAGGAAGTTTCCCAAGCAAAATAGACGTTAATCTCCTTCCCAACGCACAACCCCAGTTCGTCAAACCCCGATCGGTACCCTATGCACTAAAGTCGCAAATTGAACAAATACTTAAGGACTGGGAAAACCAAGCGATTATTAGTAAATGCCGATACAGTAAATGGGGATCGCCAGTTGTGCCCATTCAAAAGTCGGACAATTCCATACGCCTTTGCATTGATTACAAAGTTACTCTGAACCCATGGGTCAGGCCCGAATGTTATCCTATCCCCCGAATCGAAGATATTTATGAAACACTACAGGAAGGTACTATTTTTTCGGTGATAGATCTAAAAGAAGCATACACCCATATACCAGTCACAAAAACTACAAGTGAACTGTTAACAATTAGCACCCATCTAGGCCTATTCAATTTTAATAGACTTCCTTTTGGTATTTCCTCCGCCCCAATGATTTTTCAACGAACGATGGACATTGTAACAGCCGGTCTTAAAAAGACCGTGACTTATTTAGACGATATTCTAGTATCAGGGAAAACTCCGGCGGAACACTGGTTCAATTTGCATCAGCTCTTCACACGATTGGATGATTTTAATTTAAGAATAAATCTAAAAAAATGCAAATTAGCGCAACCCTCAGTGGAATATTTGGGACACATCATTAATGCAGACGGGTTAACCCCTAGTCCTAGAACAACAGAATCCATCAAAAATTGTCCCGTTCCAAAAAACGTTCACGAAGTGCGATCCTTCATTGGTCTCGTTACCTACTATGCAAAATTTATACCAAACATGTCTACCATAGCTAAACCGTTATACGATCTATTACACCAAGGGGTAAAGTTCAATTGGAACCAAACCACATCTGACAGCTTCAATTCCATCAAGACCCTATTGATTTCCCCCCAAATCCTTTGCAATTATAACCTCGAAACCACCCTCACTCTATCTTGTGATGCTTCCGCTTATGGTTTAGGAGCCGTGCTATCACATCTATGGGATAACGATATCGAAAAACCTATAGCCTATGCTTCCCGAACGTTATCAAAGGCCGAAATCAACTATTCCACCGTAGAGAAAGAAGCCTTGGCCATTATTTTTGCCGTTAAGAGATTCCGACAATTCCTGCTAGGAAGACAATTCATCATAAACACAGACCATAAGCCCCTACTAGCCATATACGGGAAAAAAATTGGGATCCCTACCATGACTTCCGCAAGATTACAACGATGGGGAGTAACATTATCGGGCTTCAATTTCAAGATCCATTACAAAACAGGGCCCACAAAAATGAATGTCGACGCTCTTTCCCGACTACCGCTACCTAACATCGACCATCAAGACGAAACCGATGTAAACCAAATTCTACAGACCCGTATTAAAGACCTACCCTTCACTAGAGATAAAATAGAATCCATAACCATGCAAGACCCAGAATTATCACAGATCAAAGAAATTATACGAAATGGCTACCCCCCCCCCCAAGATAACAACCACCGAATTACAAGAATATTGGAACATGAAAGATGAATTGTCAATAGACGGGGATATAATTGTCCGGGGAACCCGGTTAATCATTCCCAAAACCTTATGACCCGCTATCTTACAAGAGATTCATAGTGGACACCCGGGAATTTTCGAATGAAGGAAACCGCGAGGATTTATGTCTGGTGGCCCCGATTAAATAAGGATATCACAAAAATCAGTGAAATGTGCAACCGTTGTCAACTATTCAAAGAAAACTTCCCCCAGAGATTACTACACCACTGGCCCGTCGCCCGCACAGTGGGAGAAATGGTACACGTTGACCTCGCTGGACCCATACATTAAAGTACATTGGCTAATTCTAGTAGATGCCTATTCCAAATGGCCAGAAATAGCCCGCTTGAATAACACTACATCCAAGGCCCTCCTAACAGCTTTAGAATGCATTTTTAATCACCTAGGCTATCCGCGAAACCTCATAACCGACAACGGACCTCAGTTTGTCAGCCACGAATTCAACCAATATTGTGACCGCCATGGAATAACCCATATCTACACCCCCCCCCGTACTCCCCCCAAAGTAATGGAATAGCGGAACGATTCGTACGAACCTTTAAAAATGCTATAAGAGGGTTTCCCCGCACAGAAATTCAAACCCAGCTAACCAACTTTCTAATAGCCTATAGAAACACTCCGCATCCAACCACGAAGCAAACCCCAGCCATGCGATATCTTGGTTGCGAGATCAGACGACCATTAGACCTCCTCCATGAAAAATCAGCATTTCGCACCACATACTACCCGGTTCAGCCCTATCTAAGAAAGGGAAATCTAGTATGGGTTCGAACACCCCCAAGCATTCCCAACCCACGATGGGAAAAAGGAACTATAATAGAGGTTCTAGGACCTGTCGTTTATTACGTAGAAATAGCTCAAAAAGCCCTACGATACCATCGCCGAGATATCCGACCTCGACGGGAACTCGAAAATCAAGAAGAAGAGCTAACACATATAGACGACCCATTCCCTAACAAACATGGAAGTTCTCACTTTATTCGCCAACCGATCGAATCGCCCATCCCCAACTGTCTCAAAGCCACCAAAGATCCCAACAAGGAGGAAGAAGCCCAAGTACTCACATTTCTCGAACCCAACGTACCAGACAAAACGACTGCGTACAAACAGACTCAACAAATTTCAAATAACCCACAAGAGCTCTTGGACCTACCACCCCGGGGTAGCCCAATTTAAGAGGGGAGGAGAATGCCGTATTTCCACAAAAAAACACCTTTTTTTTCAAACATTGTATTTTGATTTTATATATATATTGATTTTTTTTTTGTGTGGTCATCCACCTATTACAAATCCCTTTTTTTTATATTTCCACCACGTATTTTCAAAAGTTAGACGTAATTAAATCCGCTCTAAACCAGCGGTGCGGCGAATGCCGTTTTATTTATTTTATTGACTTAAGGTAGGATTTACCTTCGTTATTAAATCCGCTCTAAACCAGGGGTGCGGCGAATGTCGTTTTATTTATTTTATTGACTTAAGGTAGGGTTTACCTTCGTTATTAAATCCGCTCTAAACCAGCGGTGCGGCGAATGCCGTTTTATTTATTTTATTGACTTAAGGTAGGATTTACCTTCGTTATTAAATCCGCTCTAAACCAGCGGTGCAGCGAATGTCGTTTTATTTATTTTATTGACTTAAGGTAGGGTTTACCTTCGTTATTAAATCCGCTCTAAACCAGCGGTGCGGCGAATGCCGTTTTATTTATTTTATTGACTTAAGGTAGGATTTACCTTCGTTATTAAATCCGCTCTAAACCAGCGGTGCGGCGAATGTCGTTTTATTTATTTTATTGACTTAAGGTAGGGTTTACCTTCGTTATTAAATCCGCTCTAAACCAGCGGTGCGGCGAATGCCGTCTTGGTTTATTTTCGTAGGAATTAAGAATGAAATAGGCGCCGACGGCAGGGTAGCCGTATTTAAGAGGGGAGGAGTGTTATGTTCTACCTCCCCCCCCCTTTGTCCCGTACAACTTATTTCTTTTTTTCTACTTGTTTCTTTTGTTTTCCCATCTTCCTTTATTTTGTTATGAAATTGATATATTTTACCTTATTTTTATATTGCATTTGAAACTGGTTCTTACCAGTTTCATGAATGATTATATCGCGATTAAATAACAACTTTTTTTCCCTTTTGTTTTAAAAATTATAAAGGTTGAAAACAAAACACCTTTTTGGATCATTAATTATTTTCGTGGTTTTTGTAAATTGATATTTTTTTTTGTAATTTTACTTTGTTGAATAAACTTTGAAAATATTATTTTAACTACGTTGTCCAAGTGATTCCATGACTAAAACGATAAAACCAAGCCCCCTGGATCTCGTCATCGACCATCCCGGACCCCCGATCACGGACTGTATTTTTCTCATTCCGACTGGGGGACCCATCGGTCCAAATACCACAATAATAAAGTAAAAGTAATAATTTTAATAAAACATTTTTATTTGAATATTATCATAATTTGAATAATAGATCTTTTTGTAACTGAATAATACAAAAATTATCAAATGTCTTTTAGCCAGATTCTTAGTTGAATGGGCAATGCAATCAGTTACTAGCATAAGTCGTGATTAATTGGATGCTACACAACAATGTTTGTAGTTATTGTTTTATAATTGGTCATAATCTTTAGATTGTGAAAACTAACTCGAGATATAGTTATATATACCAATATCGGTCTATACGAAAAAACATGCTGAGATATATTGATTCCAACTTTGTTCAAAGGACAGCTCATGATGTAGTGTTGTTAAATTGCTGGGTCGGGTCGGCTTGGCCGAAAACCCAGCAAGGTTTGAGCCGAAAAAAAACGACCTTAAACCCGAGCCAACCCATAGCCATAGATCACACCCGACCCAATGGGCCTCATGACCCGATTGGGTCGGCTTGCTGGGTCGGCTTGCGTTAAAATTTGTCATAATCGTCATCTTTAAGTTTTTCGAATTTTTTTGAAGCAAAGGTAAAAATATATGTTGTGAACATGTTAAATTAAATTTTCAGTGAATATCCTTAGAAAAGTGACAATT